GCCAATTGGATCTAGCCAGGTCCCCAACCTTTATTGCCAGTGAATCCAACAGGTACTCTGCTTCCCCTATGGCATACCTAACTAAACTCGAAGTACCTAAACACCGGAGGGCCTTTACTCTGGCACGATGCCATGCCCTCCCCTCCGCTGTCCTTGGAGGGTGATACAGGAAGATCCCTTACCCCGAGAGACAATGCCCCTGTGTCTCTGGACGCATGGAAGCAAAGAGCATGTGCTTCTCCAGTACCTGTATTACAGAGACATTCGTCCAAGCCTCATCTCACCATTACTGCATAAATATCCAGGGCACACAGGACAGTTCTACCCCTCCCTGCTTTCAGATACCAACCCTGCTACAACATATAATATTGCCAGGTTCTGCCAGCAGCAATTAAAATTCGTCAGATGATGACCTGTGCCATGAACTAGACTTAATGAACATATAGTTCATCATACTAGAGTGCTCTGTAATTTGCTAGATGTAGTCTGCCATATACTAACCTTTATGCTAATGCTCCTACTCCCTCCCATTTTAGAACCTTTTACATTCTTGTTTTTTATACATTCTTTCTGTTTTATATCTTTTAAATTTTCAAAACTTTTTATAAACTCCAATGTATCTTTTATGGTTTTTAATTGACTGTACCCCACCCTCCTTTTGCTGGTCTATGACCATGATAAAGATTTGATTGATCAGATAGGGAGATGGGAGAATCCAATAGTGCAAGATGTTCTGCAAGATCAAGCAGAAACTCCTTGGGACCGACCCTGCATGTAGAAGCAGAACTACCTGAATCACAAGGCCTTCCATCCCAATTTACAGAATTGACATGAAAGAATAAAGTTAGTGGTATCAAAACCCACTGACAGATCAACAAAGAGGATCACATTCCTCCTCTTTTTCTCTTTCTAGAAACAGTCCAACCATCAGAACGATCAAGACCACTTCACAATCAAAAACAGGCCCAAAACTGCATTGAAATGTATTTAGATAATTTATTTAACGTGACTGTGCCTGGAATGGAATCATCACTTAAGCATCTTGCCCCAAACAGGATAGTTGTAAAAACTGTTGCTGGGCTTTTAAAGAGTTTGAAGCACAAGTATACATTTTACATAGACTTGGGTGAAAGTTGCATATGTTAATTCATAACTAAATAACCATACACCCACACACACACATAAAAATAATTATTGGGATTTCACAGAAATCTAAGCCAGCTGATGAATTCCAAATTATTCATTTATGTCCAGCCCCTAGCTCATTCCAAACCAGGTTTTCCTCAGTCACAGTTAATTTCAATGGCTGTGAAATGGTGTACAAAAAAGTGGTTGGTGGATTTTCTCACGAGTCTCCTCAGGACCTGGGGGCTTTGGATCACAGGAGACTTTAACTGTATTGCTTATGTTTTTATTTCACATCTGCAATTCTGTCATGCTCAGTGAAGAACAGCAGACCCTCAACATTGCAACTGTCTATAAATATGGGGGGTGAGGGAGTAGGGCTTTCAGGAACCACTAATCTCCAGTTGTGGTGCAGCACATATGAGCAAGCAGGAATACCAGATCATCAGCAGGAGGGCTTGGATTTCCTCTTCTACTGGGGGAAGCTGCCCTGGAAAGAGCTGCCCCGAGAATGCTTTTCTGCTCAAGAGCAAAGGACAGACTTGACTGTGGATGTAAAATTAATAAAACTCTGTAAACCTTTCTTTCCCCTGCTTTCGTCTCATCCTCTAGATCTGGATGAGTGTGCTGATGGAAATGATATTGAAGATGCTCCTCGGTGCCAGCATTTCTGCCACAACTACGTAGGGGGCTACTTTTGTTCTTGCCAGCCCGGCTACCAACTCCAGAGTGATGGGCACTCTTGCAAAGGTGAGGCCATATGATCCTCCAGAAGAAGCCAGAAGACTGGAAAGGACAGAGAGCTTGTGTAGAATAGTGCCTCGAAGAATATCAGTGTGGAGGAATGCAAGGTACTCTTGAGGAAGTTTGCAGGAGCCGTTAGTGGAGGAGGAGTGACAATGTAGTCCTGAGAAAGGAGAGGAGAACATGTGAAAAGGAAACTCATGAGAACCCCACCTTGATTCTATTTGGTATCGAGGCAGCAGAGGAAAGCTCTGAATGGCTTTAAGATTCTGCTATGATACTCTAAAATAGTAAAGTAGCATTCCTGTAATCCCTGGGGTGTCTATTTCCTGACCTAGCCTACCTCAAAGGGCTGACAACCGGCTAGTTTAGAGATTGTGTCTGTAATGCCAAGGTGTTATTCCAGATTCTGCCATGGTGTGGGAAAAGAGAAATAGGTTCCAGAAAACAGGCCACCTGCTAAGAAAGGATGCTCCGCAGATGAGCTAATATGAATTTCCTTTCAGTCGACCTTCTTTTGTTTCTTGCTCTGCAGTGAATTGCAGCAATGAACTGTTCACAGAAGCCTCTGGGTATCTGTCAAGCCCTGGCTATCCTGAGCCCTATCCGGCTAACCTGCGGTGTAATTACAGCATACGGGTAGAGAAAGGGATGACCATTATCCTCAAGTTCCTGCAGCCCTTTGAAATTGATGACCACCAGCAAGTCCACTGCCCTTATGACCAGCTTAAGGTACTCCAGATCAATACATTCCTAGCTGGTATTCCCGTACTTGGCTCAACCCTATAATGGATGATAGGTCAGGATTAGGGAAGTCCAAGGATCCCTACAGTCTGTCCTTCAGGTACCAGGTTCTTATTGTGAAATTAAAATTTTTGGGACTTTCCTAAGAAAGATCTATGATCCAGAATATTGTCCAAATACTCACCTTCTTCCATCTGCATTTTTATGTAAACTCTACTTCAAATGTGGTGAGTAGTTCCAGGGAGCTTGGCTTCCTCTGAAGAGCCTGTTACAGACTAAGTGACTCGGGTAATATTTTATATATTACAAGTGTACAAGTAGAACACAAGTAGACACCAAGGGTTTTCACTGATCCTGAAGTAATCAACACACTGCCCCATAGCTGATCCTCAGGGAAAGATCTCAAAAGACTGTCAGGCTGGGCTCTTTCTGTTTGTTTCTCTGAGTCTCAAATTGCAGTTCTGTTCACACTGTTGTCAAAATGCTTTTGTTACTACACATAGACAGGCTTTCCCTCCTGCCTCTAATATGAACTTTTTTTCCATTAACCAAAACCATCAACCATTTTTCCTTAATAATAATGCTTGTGTGTTTATTACTGAATGATTGATCTATTACATTATGTAATTGTTTTTAAAAATATGTTGTGTCACACAAAAATAAAAAATAATTAAATAATTAAATGAAATCAAATAATTAAATTAAATTAAATTAAACATTAAAATGCCACAACTAACAATAAAATCAAAAGCCAATATAAAAAGATAAAAGAAATGCAAGAAAAAGTCAAATCATTATGTGAAGGAGCTAAAACGAAAAGCCAAAAACCATAATCATGGGAGGTCACCAGTACTGCAATAGTAACAGTGTTCAAATCCATTGAAACAAGCAAAAATGGAAATATTTCAATAACATTTAAATGTCTTTGCCATATGTTCCACCTTATTTATAGAAGAGAGAAATTAAATTTGAACTTGTAGGTAGACATCTTCTGACTGACTGATTTTAACAAAAATATTCAAAACACGTATTAAAAATGAAACTCTAACAACCATATAGAAAAATTAATCAGACTCTGAATTTGGTACAAGTCAAATTTTGGAAACCCTTTTTCATACTAATGGGCTTTTGATCATAAAGGAATGGAAGCTTTTATTTATGCCAAATTTCCCAAGTAGGTTTTATTTCCCCATTTTGTATCACATTTTCTTCCTTTGCTAAAAGATCTATGACTGTTTTATGAGGTTGCAATATGGTTCTTTTTGCCACTAATAATAAAATATTTCACAATTACTAACAGTCAGTTGTCAGAAACTCTCCCCAAAATCCACATCCATACCGTGTGGACATGTTGAACAGGAAAGATTTAAGACACGTCCAATGACAGAGGACAGAGCCAACATAGGAACCAGGTCTATTCTTGGATAAGTGCATCTCAATGTTCACCCAAATCAATGATTCCAAATTGTAAACACCTGAATAAAGTTGATAAGCATTTTTTTTTCTATTGTATGATATGCCATTTCTTACCCAGATAACTAATACTGTATGTAACAGATCTGATCAATGTTCTTCAGGCACAGTAATAAAAAGCTGTGGACTCCATTCAGTCTTTTCAAAATCCAAACTTGGTAAAGCTTTAGAAGAGCCTCTTGGACTCCATCTATTTAAACAAAAAATGATGGACTAGTATTGTCCAAATTCCAACCAAAAATAGTAATAATACTATGTTTCAACTTGCCATGATTAAAGACTAAAATTTGACATGATTAAAGATTAAAAACAAGTGGAATTCAGTTTAAAGTTGTACAACTCATTTAACTATTCTAAATAACTCCCCCACAGTTAGGATCATCTTTTCCACCCAATATTTCCAGAGCAGAAAAGAATCAGTACAAATACTTGAACTGTCCTATATGATTATGTAACTTAAATGGTCTATATGAGTTTTCTTTCCTTATATTAAGTATTATTTTCAATAATGTATTGACTGTCTCACCTCACAATGGCTGTGGTGATATACTGGACTCTATATTTCAAATAACTAAAACCTAAAACTACCAGTCTGTTTAGTATTAAATACTTTTCAATTTTGACCTAAATAGATGCATAATTTAATCTAATGTGTCTTTTTCTCTATGCCAGATTTGCTGTTTCGACCACACAATTAATATTTACAGAAGAGCTTTGGTTTACAAATGTGCAGATATTTGACAGTAAATGCAGAATATTGAAACCAAGTATTTAAAAAGTCAATAAGTGTCTACAGTTTTGGGATCTAGCTAATCGTTATATTTATAAATTTCAGCAAACAAGAAGAATCACGGTAAAAATAATTTGTTTTGTCACTTCTGATATATCATATAAAATTCTAGAAGAGAGTGTAGAATGTGAATGAAATGAGCCCAACTTTCATCACACCTGCAATGATTTGTATGAGTAGAACCTTTTAAATATCTTCAATGGACTAGGAAGCTGATATAATAGAAAATCTTCTTGTGTGTTCATTGTTCCCTCATCAACTTGCTGGTTTCTTGAAAACGACCAAGAAGATCTTCCTAATCTGCTTGCTGAGTTTGGGGCAGCATTAAGTTGTAAACTGTGGAACATTCATTTCTGAAACCTCAATTTCTTACTAGATCCAAGCTGGCAGGAAACAGATTGGTGAGTTCTGTGGCAGAGTGCCTCCAGGAACCATTGAAACCAGCAGTTCTTCAGTCGATGTCATTTTTCTCACAGACGAATCAGGATACAGTCATGGGTGGAAGATTTCATACACTACAGAAAGTAATTATCCCCATCCAATACTTTAAGTTAAAAGGTAATGACCTACAGTATCTTCTGCTGCTTCTTTCATTTCTTTCTCATCTCCACTAGGAATCCGTTGCCCACAGCCTGTGCCAAACGATGCCTTCACCATCATCAAGGACCCACAGCCCCTGTATCAATACCAAGATTACATCATTGTCAGCTGCAAAACTGGATATAACTTGATGGAGGTGAGGCTTATTCATTTGGGTTCCTCATTATTTTATCTCTTACCATCTTCTAAGCCTTTTTCTTGCAATGACCTTAATCCTACTGGCCTCTTTTTTGGTTCTCCCTTTGGTTCTTCTGAAAGCTTTCCTTTCTTTCCACATCTCCTACTCCTTTTCACGGAAGCAAATTCAAATACATGCCAAGGCATGAAAAAACAAAATCTCTTCCCCAAGCAAAAAAAAGGTCAAACTGTGACTGAATTTCTGATTAAAGACAGAGCGTTGCCAATTGCGCAATTTTTGAATAGTTACTAAAACACTAGAGGAGAAATTGGAGAAACCGAAAGTTAAGAAAGAAGGAAAACATTACTTTGGAACTCAACTCTAAAAGCTGCTTTGAATGTCAGAACTCAGTTCTACTAGCACCAAACTTACAACTGCAAGGTTTTCTCATGTATTCACACTATAGAATAACTCTAACCAGTCATATGTTAACTAGGGAAGACTACAGCAGGCCCACAGCTTATTTTCTTCCGGGGGGCACATTTGTTACCCCAGAGTCCCAGATTAATTAAAAAGAAATCTCCAGCAGGGATAAACTTTGAATTAAATGAAAAAATGTACAATCACTGTTCTGCCCAATTGTTTTGTGGGAAAGGAAAGTGTTCTCTATGGGTTTATTCAGTGAAGTCACAGCCATGACTGTCAATTTGTGAGACTGAAGACAGAAGGGACTTCCTAGTGCTGCCTGAATCAAATTTCAGACCTATTATCCTGGAGCAGTGATTACTTCTCAGAGAAGTACATCATAAGATCCTCATTGTTAATTCAGTTGTGACTGATGTGGAGCATGTACAGTCTAAAAATAATGACAATAATTGATCTTCTTTATAACAGAGGTATTTTTTCATGCAGAAAAGCCAAAACCTGAAGACTTGTTTTCATGATGTTTCTGAATATTTTAAGAATCACCCTGCTAATGCAGGGAATTACTTTATAGTCATAATTATATGGGTGAAGATAAATTACTTTAGTTCTGGCAATGTTGCTAACCCCAGAATGGTATTGATAATATGGGGGAGAAATCATTCTTACAAATGAAGCTTTTTGTTCTTCTCTACCATGCACTCCAATCAAGACAAAGGTAAACCCCCATGTATAGCCTACCCCATCTGCCATTGCCAAACAAAACTTTCCTAAGATTGCATCTCTTGTCTGATCTGAACCTCAGTCAGTAGGACTGCAGGTGGGAGAAGACAGAAGCATTATACTAAGGAAGGGACATGGACAAAGGTATTGGACTGGTTGATTCATAGCTGTTGTTCTTTTGAACAGGGTAAAGAACAGTTGGCATCCTTTACCTCTGTCTGCCAAGATGATGGAACCTGGCATCGTTCTATGCCCCGATGTCAAAGTGAGTAGTTAAGCCTCTCCTACCTGTTGCCCACAATGCCACCTAAACAGGTCAAGTTCCCCAAACTCTGGTGACCTTCTTGATGCCTCCTGCTGTATAAGGGAATCTTATGGGAATCTTCATTGCCCATGGCAGTCCTAGTGAGAGGCATTTTGCTGTCTCTGTCCACAAGATAGTCCACTGTGTTCATCTGATCTAGACTGGACAATAAATTCTTCATGGTTTAGTTTAAGGGTTACTCACCAGTAGCTTAGAGCTAGAAAAATATACCAGCATAAAGTTTGCTGCCTTGCCCTCATTGGCTATCCTTATCTTGGCGCAGTCTTCATTTATGGTGTATGGAAGAATGATGGTTGGATTCTCCTGGCTTCATTTCCTTCTACTTCTGCCAAATGTTACCCACCATAAAAAGTGTCCAGCAGTCCCTCTCCTTTATGTGCGATAGAGCCGGGACCAGGGTGGAGCCAAATTTTGACCTACAGTTAGACAGGCAAGTTTAGGCATCTGTCAAAACTCACTCTGATTTTGCAAAAGTGTATTAAAGGAAACCTGACTATTACCTGATATCAGCTGATAGGCTCCTTTTGGACTTTTATCACCATTTAATAATAATGCTAAGTCATATTCAGAAGTAATCTAAACAATAACTTAAAGGGGCAGGGAAGATTGCATTATGAAGCAGCAGAGACAGAGCCCCTCTGCCACCATCATTTGTCAGCTTCTGTTCAGCTGATCCAGGTCTCCAAGCTGGGTTAAAAGAATTAGCCTGTCGCCCTCCCAAGGAGAAGGGCCCTAGAAGACAGTGCCCAGGAACCGGAGAGGTGGCAGACTCACAAAAACCATTTGATGCCTAGCTAATCCCTCCCCAGGAGTGACCAAGCTGTGCCACCAACAAAATGGTCAACAAAGCCCATCAGATTCTATCCATGGCAAAACCCATGTTGAGATAAGTCAAAAAACGCTACTTCAGCACTGATGCGGCTAAGAATGATTTAAGGCAGCAATCCGATGAAGGCAATGCCATGAGGAAGGAGTGGAAAAAGAGGTTGCTGGGGCAGCTGTGCAAACAAAGAAAGTCTCCTGAACTGTGTGGAGGAAAGTCTCAGATTTACACTCTTTATTTTCTGACATGCTGGCAACAGTTGATCTTCTATGTGACAATCCTGAGCTCTCTTTTATTTCTTTATGTTTTCCTGCTGGCTTCTGTGTGCTAAACCTCTCTCTGAATTACTTGCGTTAAGGATTCTGTATCTTTTTGCCTGTGCTTGAAAAAGCAGCACTGTATATGGAGATGCAGTTTGGATAACTAAGCTATTCCTTTTGCTTCTCATTCAAAAACGAAACAAACTAGTGACGGTGTCCCACCTAGAGTTTTAATCTCCTTCGATAAAGGCATTGCTCTGTTGGGGCAGGATGTGAGATATGACACACCATTAATCATCAGTTGAAAAAGAAATGAATGATTAAAATTCATTGTAATACAGTAATTATTAAATTATTAATAAACGATTAATATAAATTTTTAAAAGAAATGAGACCTTGGGTTGTGATCATTTCTGATCCCTGGAGGATCCCAGATGGAAAGACGCCTTTCTCTTCTCCCTCTTTAACTTGTTTTGTCTTGCAGTTGTGAACTGTGGTGAACCTAAATTTCTGAAAAACGGGGCATTTAATTTTGTGTCGTCAACAAAAAATAACAACTATCAGTCGGTGATCAAGTACCGCTGCAATGAACCCTATTATCGGCTGCTCAACAATCCAGGAAAAGGTGAGGCCATGAAGTGCAGGCCCAACGTAAGCAGTGCAAGTTGCAGGGTTGCATGGCAAACTCTACAAATCTAGCAACCAAGCAACTTCCTTGCTTTTGTGTGTGGGTCGTCTTTACCAAATGCCTGGGGATGGGGTAGGGTTGAATGGGGGGAAGGCTGGGCATGCTCCAGGTCCCCTTGGTGAAACAGCACCACCTGGCAGGGCCTCGGAAACATGCCTTCTCTGTCATGGTGCCTGCCTTATGGAACAGCCTTCCCCAGAGATACGGATGGCCCTGATCCTGTTGGCCTTCTGGAAAGCAGTGAAGACCTGGCTTTTCCCCCAAGTACTGGGGCCAGGATGTTGGTGGAGCTGGCACAGGGTACCTGATTTATGGATGAGAGTTCTACTGGGGCTCCAACAGTGCCTTTTTAAAATGCTTTTTAAAAGAAAATAATTGCATTGTGTTTTTATTCTTATATGCTGCCCAGAGTTCCTTTTGGTAGATGGGTGGCCATATAAATTCCTTTAATAGATAAAATAAAATAAGATAAAATACAATAAAATACAATAAAATACAATAAAATACAATAAAATACAATAAAATACAATAAAATACAATA